GGGCTGATCCTGTCACTATGATCACCCACTCAGATGAATTCTCGAACTGTCCCAACATACCTAGGTTTTGACCCCCTCTAAGGATCTCACTGATTGGCATATCAAAGACAGCCCAATCCGACACCTAGTGCAGTATCATAATCGAGACTAGAGATCAGGTGTAACTTTCTAGTTTTGCCCACTAATCTCCAAGGTCCAGGGCAATACTGGAAATCTGGTCCAGTTCAGGGTTTCAAGTAAACCTACACTACATGTGCTTTGGGTCTCACCCTGGCAGCTGAGACAGGCCACCCCAACACTTGGCAGCACACCAATGTCAACCTTAGCAAGATAAATCTCCCCAGACTTATCCAACGGCTGTGAACATTCTAAACTAACACGAGTCTCATTAAGTGTCCAGTTTAAGGGTATTACACAAAAACACACCACAAGAACACGAATCAAATATGCACTTTATTCATTTACAATAAATGTCATAAGTACATCAAACTGATTGGAGCTAAGGGCATACAACTGTCTAACAATTGAAATTTCCTGGTATTCTCCATCTAGAAATTTCCGCACTAGACTCACTTCCTAATCACATCATATAGCCATATCATCCTAGACAAACCCTCACCCCCCACCTCAAAACCTTGGACCTAACCCTTTACCATCATCATTTACTTTGGCAGTTTCCCCCAACTCTGTTACCATTCTAGGATCACATCAGTCCTACATCAATGACATTAGCAGGAGTATGCATGGCCTATCACAGACATACATGAGAATCTTATATTTTGAAAGAGATCATTTTACACATATTTACATATTCATTTTATGATCAAAAGGATTCTCCAAGGTTTTCTTTTTTTTTTTGGAGTGTTTCATTAGAAATTAAGAGAAAATACATCTATGCAGTTTTGGAAATTAAGAGAAAATACATTTAACTCTCATTCCTAAAAAGATTGATGCTAAACACCCAAAAGACTATAGGCCCATTAGCTTGGTGACCAACATCTATAAAATCTTGGCAAAGGTGCTATCCTTAAGGATCAAAGTGGTCTTACCACCTCTCATTAGTCAAGCTCAAGGAGCCTTCGTACAAGATATGCAGATAATCGAACAAATCCTAATAGCAAATGAGTGTGTGGAGGATATGAGGAAGTCGGGGGGCCAAGGCTTTGCTTGCAAACTAGACCTTGAGAAGGCATACGATATGGACTGAAGTTTCCTCTTGGAGATACTAAGGACTTGTGGGTTTGGGGAAAGATGGTACTTGTGGATGATTGGTTGCCTTACTTCGGTTCATTACTCTGTGCTAGTGAATAGAGTGGTAATGTATTTCTTTCCAGCTTGCAAAGGGTTGAGACAGGGTGATCCTCTTTCTCCCTTTCTTTTTACTTTGGTGGCGGATGTATTGAGTAGACTAATATTAAAGGCAGATAAGGAGGGGGTAATAGATGGTTGGAAAATCGGAAGGAACAATGTCTCTGTATCTCATTTCCAGTTTATGGATGATATTATCATCTTTTGTGAAGGAAGTGAAAAGGAAAGAGTGAGAAACCTTAAGGATCTAATTTTAGGCTTGGAGAGAGTTTCCAATCTAAAGATCAACTTTAGGCTACGCTTGCCGATTTACCAATCTATTATCTCTCAGGGTTTCAGATCCCTCATAGGGAGGCTAGGAAATTAAAAAAATTGATGAGAGATTTTCTTTGGGAACAAGGGGAGAAGAAAAATGATCACTTAGTTAATTGGGAGACAGTTTGTCGGAGTAAAGAGGCAGGGGGTCTAGGATTAGGGAATTTGGTCCTCATAAATGAAGCTTTATTAGGGAAGTGGTTATGGAGATGGCCTTTGGAGAGAGAAAGTTTGTGCACAGGGTTGTGGTTAGTATTCATGGCTGTTTTGCCTCTGGTTGGGATGTTGGGGTATCTCATCGGGCTACCCAAACAACACCTTGGAAGGCAATACATGGTGTCCTCCCCAAATTCGTGCAATTTGTAAGGTATGACACTTGCTCCAGAATTTTGGTTCTTTTTTGGGAAGACGCTTGGGTGGGTAACCAACCTCTAAAAGACCTATTTCCTTCTCTTTTCTCTTTCCCTTTATAAAAAGGAGGTTATTTCTATCTTCCACCCCCCTCTAGTCYTACTTTTATCCTTGAACTAGGACTTTGGTTTGCGTAAGGGTTTAAGGGAGAATGAGCTTGTTTGTGTTACTGAACTTCAACCCATATTAGAGAGTGTTTGTTTGGACCCTTCTTCTTCTAATAAAAGGGCATGGAGCCCTATTCCAAAAGGTTACTTCACTTGTGCATCTTTTTTCAAATCCCTTTGTTCTAGTAATTTGCTTGAGCCTTTCCTAGTGAAAGAAGTGTGGACAAAGCTTGTGCCCCCCAAAATTGCTGTTTTTTGCTGGAAATGTACCTTGGTAAGACTAATACTGTGGAGAATTTACAAAAGAAAAAGCCTTTTATATGTTTATCCCAAACTGGTGTGTGATATGCAAATCTCATGTTGAGGACTGTTATCACTTACCGGTTTCTTGTTCCTCTACTGCAACTCTCTAGGATTGGATGTTTGGTTTGTTTGGCTATAGGTGGAATCAACCAATAGAGGTAAAATTATTATTCTCACCAGATACTTTTGCTTGCCCAACAAAAAGAGGGAGGAGTATGTAGAGATGTTTCAGAGCAGCCACCTTATGAACGGTTTGGGAAGAAAGAAATGCTAGAATCTTCCAAGATAAGGAGAAGTCATTTACAGATGTGAAGGACTGTATCTCAACCAAGGCTATTCATTGGCTGAAATCCTTGGCTTCTTTCAATTCCTTTACATTTGATGACATTTGGAGGAATTGGGCCACAGTTGCACACACTTCGGTGAGGAAGCCCAGAGACACAACAGTTTGGGTAACTCCTCCAGAAGGAGTTTTTAAACTGAATTTTAATGGAAGTAGTCAAGGTAACCCAGGACCGTCTGGAATTGGAGGAGTACAGAGGAATGAGAATGGCAACATCATATCCTTATTCTAAGGCCTGGTAAGGATAGGGGACTCTACAAGAGATGAGTTGTTAATTGCAGTACAAGGAATTCAAATTGCTAATCAACTAGGAGGGGAGAATCTATTAATTTAAGGGGATTCTAAGGTGATTGTGGGGTGGCTGTCAAATCCAGACTCAGTTGTTTGGAGTTATAGGGATCACATCAAAAAAGTCAAATGTTTAACAAGGCACATAACTTGTAGATATCAGTGGGTGGGTAGAGGGAGGCAAATGCCTTCACTGAATATCTTGCTAAACAGGGGTCTATTAGGGATTGTTTATTTTGGGCAGCCTTGTAATCTTTATTTCTGATCACTTGTAATGTTTAGGGGAGGCTGCACCTCGTGCCTCCCCAAGGGATCCTTGTAAAGTTTTATTGCACTTGATCAATGAAAAAATCATTTTCAATTATCAGAAAAAAAAATTCTGTTCATATCTCTAGATTGATTGAATAATAATCTTGAGCTGGGATCAGAAATCAATGGTGGGTATGATATCTTTGAATATATTGGTGGTGGTCTTGTATTTTTCTGGTGTTTTTTTCTTTCCTATACATTAGTAGGTGTGCGAGTCAGGCCAGATTAGATCAGGTTGAGGCCAACCCCAACCTGAGGTTGTGAACCCTCAATCCTAACACTTACCCAACCTGACATACTCAACCCTAAGAAATATATTTACCATATTTTTTATTAGTATTTGTTTGTCTGATGTTTTACTGGCTCTTTTAGTGCAAAAGTGAGAGAATAAATGTTTCAAATGATGGGAGCCTATAAGTTAATAGGGCGATCACAACTAAACAATAATAAACTTGTGGGCTAAGGACCAACAACTAATAAAAGAAAGAACATAACTAAGAAAAATAACACAAAACTAAGGCCCATAAAGCCCACAGCCCATTAATTACACTGTCAACAGATATATTGAAAATTTTTTAATAGCAGAAATACATTAGGAGAAATTTATATCCAGTAGAATTTCATTTCCCCAAGGAAAGTGAAATTTTGGAAGTTTTTGCTAAATTTGGGGAAATGCAAACCATTGGCATAATCTGGAAGCCAAGAGTTTTTGCGACAATAAATTGGTTATGGATGTATATGAAATACACCATGGACAGAATTGGGAGAATGCGTACAATCTTCTCTGAGAGAGCATCTATACATAAGAGAATTATATAGAGGTAAACACAAGAGAACTGTAGAGGAGATGGGCCGAATGGAGGTGTGCTTTGAATGCTTTAACAGTCCTCCCAAATAACAAAAATAACTCAGCAAAGAACTGAGAAAACAACTTACAGTATCTCTGGTTTGAACTTCAAACCAGGCCGAACACTTTCTCTGAGCTAGCTTCGAAATCTAGCTTCGGAATCCCTTTTCTCTGATTTCAAATCAGGCTGGAAAACTTGCTCTCTGATTCTTCCTGGTCACCGAACCCTTCTCCAAGTGTATAGAAATTTGGGCACACTCCAATGACCTCCAAGAACCAGGCGAATGACTGTAAACATTCAGCCCTAGAACCTCCTCATGCAGTTGGCTGAACTAGAACCACATGAGGGACACGCCAAGCAATGACCCGCTCTGATACCAAGTTGAAAACAGTTCACTTGATGTATGGAACTGTTTGAGATTAGATGCAAAACAGAAACTAAACAAACAAGAGAGGAAGAGAAGAGAGAGAGCTGGCGGCAATGAGTGTTAGAGAGTGAGAGTTTCGAACTTAACCTCACTCTAACACTCTAAACATTTTATTAAGGTGTTAATCTTTGATAAATTACAGAGAGGCCCTTGAGTGGGCAGAAAAATACAAAAAACAGAACATTACAGAGTATGGGCCCAGAATAAGGCCCATAACAAAGAGAAACATAACATAACATGAAATGACAGTCTATGGGCCATTCGGCCCATCTCCTCTACAAGAACTAGGGGGAAAATGGATCCGATCCGATCCGATCCTATTTTTGTCAGATTCGGATATCCCCATTTCAGTTTTTCGGATTGGATCGTATGATAGGATCCGATTAAAAATCGGATCAAATTTGGATCCCCCCATCTGATCTGAAAGGATCCGATCAAATATAATGTATATATATATGGTATTTATTTATTTATAAATATGTTATTTATATTGCATTTTTGTAAATTTTATATTATCTATTTTTTATAAAAAACATGTATATATATGATGAATCATGAAAATAGTTGAAAAAATACTTGTATTTTTTGTTTTTCTTTATTCAAACTGTTATATCTTCTTTTCTTTTCAATAATTTACTAATTTTTTAAAAATCAAATCAGATCGGATCTGATTCGGATATCCGACATCCTTGTTGGATTTGAATTTGAATCAATATTAGATTCAGATATACCCTAATTTGAATCCGATCCGATCTGTTTGCATACCTAAAGAGAACAACCACAAGCATGAGTAGTTGTTCCTTAAGGAGATAGTCATTCTTAAGGTGTCCTCAAACAAGAACCAACCTTGAATCAATAAATAAATGATTAACATGAAAATAGTTGTGCAATTTGTAACTTCTCTTGTCTAGAGTCAGCAACTCATATTCCTCACAAATTATAACTAGCCATGCATGTGGGTTGATGGGAAGGTGCCTGAATTTATGCTCTTTTATGGTTTTCAATCAACAAAATAAAATAGAATAGAATATTACCATCACAAAGGGACTCCAAGCTAATGCCAGCATTACCCATGCGTTTATGTGGGGTTACAAGGTTTGCATCCCAAGCTGCAACCTGAGTTGAAAGAACAATCAGAAATAAGCTTTGCAATAAACAATAAAGTTGGCTCACATCTCACATATGTCACAGCTGCACCAATTCACCCATTTATTAGTGTTGTAATATGTGTTACTAGTGACATAAGGGTACTCTAGTCCTTTCACCTCTTGTTATGTTCAATATTATAAAATATGGAGAGGGAAACAGCACGCTCACTTTTTGCCTTCCATTTGTTTGTCTTTTCCCTCTTCTTTCTCTCTTACACTTCTCCCTAGGTTGCTTTCATGGTATCAGAGCAGGAGATCTGATCAACTCCTTCCTTTTTTTTAACTTATTTTCCTGCTCATATGATCTAAAAGAGGAGACAAATCTTAATCCCCCCGGACTGACCGAAGGTAGAAGGTCCTTCTCTTCCTTATTTTTTTCCTCAGTTGTAACACCAAGGATATTCTTTATAGATATGAATAGAGAATTGGTAATGTAGAAAGGCTGTTTTTAGAAAGTTTTTAAATCTGTTTCAGTCGATGGTCTATACCAAGGCTTGTTGCGAGTGGGAGATCGTAGCAGTAGTAGTCTTGTGGTGCTGTTTGTGAATCAGCAGGGGATATGATGTCTCTGTATTTCTTTTGTTTGTGGGCCTGTATACAGATCAAAGCAGTGTTTTAAAAGGCATGTGAAGCGTACACCAGGAGGCACATCTCCAAGCGAGGCGCTCCCAAAACGCCCTGAGGCGTATGCCAGAGGCGTTGACACCTCTGAGGCATACGTCTCATGCACACCTCATATATAAAGGCTGAAAAAAAAAGAAAAAAGACAAAAAAAAGGAAAGTAAAGTAAAGGAAAAGAAAGGGAAGGGAAGAAAAGATAAGGGGAAAAAAAGTGGTCTGCCCCCAGCCCCTTCAGCTGGAAAGCACCCCCAGACCTTCCCCCTCCAAGCCTCCTTGTGTTCGGGAGGCTTACGCCTCTTACGTTCTGAACTATGCCTCACGCCTCTAGGTAGTGGAACACCTCGCATCATGCCTCCGCGTTTTAAGGCATTGGATCAAAGGGCTTGTTTTCAAGGCTACTCAAAGACTGTGTGGAAGTTTTTGCTTGAAGACTGATTTGAAACCCTTTGAAGAGTTATTCCTTCCAGTTATTAATGCTCTTTGGGCTGAGATAAATGGGTACAGACCTGACACATAAAGAAGAATTGATGAGATTTAGTGAGGAAGCCTAAGAAATTCCAGAAGAAGCCAGGGAAGAAGGTTAACTCAGCTAATGTGGCAGCTAGCACAGGGATCAAAGGGCTTGTTTTCAAGGCTACTCAAAGACTGTGTGGAAGTTTTTGCTTGAAGACTGATTTGAAACCCTTTGAAGAGTTATTCCTTCCAGTTATTAATGCTCTTTGGGCTGAGATAAATGGGTACAGACCTGACACATAAAGAAGAATTGATGAGATTTAGTGAGGAAGCCTAAGAAATTCCAGAAGAAGCCAGGGAAGAAGGTTAACTCAGCTAATGTGGCAGCTAGCACAGCTGTTCAAGATGACCAGCCTACTCACTCCAATACTATGACCGCTGAGACTCGCTCAATGGGTTCCGTACAGTTCGTTAGGATACTTCATCAACTGGAGAGTTCATCCATTGTCCCTTCCACTTCATATACCACCAACTCAGGTAACCAAGCCATTGCACTTCATTCTTCTGTTCCGAGTTGTTTGTATCCAGAGCTTGAAGAGAGAAGAAAGAAGAAGAGATATTCGTCTTTTTTTTTTTCATCAGCAAGAAGAAGAAGAAAAGATTTTGAAGAAGAAAGTGGCAGCAGCTTCTCACACTGTTGTCCAGGTCACATTAGGTTTTATATTAGGTTTAAAACAGTGAAAATTACACGTATACCCTTAACAGGACAGAACAAAAACCAACAAATGGACAACTTAATATAATAAGTCCAGACCCACAAATACAATATAAGACTGCAATACATTAAATAGATGGGTTGGGCCCAAAAAACTCTGCTCTTACAACACTCCCCCTCAAACAAATTATAGATACTTACCATGTTCATCTTGCCCAACCAGTGTTTTAAAAGCACAAGGGACATTTTGTTCCTCAGGCGCTAGGCACAAAACGAGGTGTGCACCTTTTCCAAACAAGATGCAAAAATGCAAAAAAAAGGTCAAAAAATGCAAAAAAATAGAAAATTAAAGATAATATTAATTAAAAATATAAACTTAAATTTTAAAATGAATGTTTAAAAAACTATTATCTCAAATTAAAATACATAAACATAACATGCAAAACATATTCAAAATGAAAATGTAAAAATAAAATCAAGCATAACATATAAAACATATTCAAACATGTAAAACATTCAGTCTCTTTATTCTTTTTCCAAATTGCATTATTTCAAACAGCTAATGAGATGTTTAACATTTTGCATTCCAGATTCTACAAGCAGCCTTTGTACCAAGCCCCTTGACACAAGCCCAAGCAAGTCCATGTTAAGGTTTTAAATTCTTATTTCATACGTAAAAGATTAATTTTGTGATTTTAATTATAGTTCTTTGTCTTTTAAAAAATGTATTGTATTAAGGAGATGAAAGAATAAATTATCATGGACTTGTTTGAGCTTGCCTCAGGAGGCTTGGTCAGAGGTTTGGGGACCAGCCCAGCCACTAGGCTTAAAAAAAGCAAAGCGTGCAAATTATGAAAAGACACACACCTGGTGAAAGTGCTGCACCTAGGCACACACCTTTTGAAAGTGCTGTACCTAGGGCCTAGGAAAAGTGCATACCTTGTGCCTTGCCTATGTGCCTAGGTGTGCCTTTTAAATCATTGTGCCCAACAACTCATGGAACCTAATTTTCGGCAGTCTTTAGTGAGCACATCAGCAAGTTGTCCTCCAAAGGGCATTTAAAGAACACAGGTGACCAAAGATGATCCTCTCTTGAACAAAGTGTGTATCAATCTCAATGTGTTTTGTTCTTTGAATTTTGATGAAGGAATTGGGTGTTTAAGTTGCTAGATCTCTCAAGCTCTATTGGGTGTTTAAGGAATTGGGTGTTTTGTTCGGTCGTGTTGAAACAAGGTCAATTGCTAAATTAATTGCTGCTTGATTGTCACAATAGAGCTTGAGAGGTCCAGCAACTTATTCACCCAATTCCTTCATCAAAATTCAAAGTCACAATAGTTCTGCAACACCATAGGCCATAGTTAAATATTCTACCTTGGCACTGGATTCAGCCACGACAATCTACTTCTTACTCCTTGTTACTAGATTCCCTCTAACAAAGGTACAATGCCCAGTTGTTGACTTCCTATCACCAGTAGAGCATCCCCAATTTACATAAGTATAGGTTTCAATTTCCATATTATCATTCTTTCTGAATAACAAACCTTTTCCTGGACATTCCATTATATATGATATATCTGAGTACTCTTTCAACAAATTTCATATGAAAAGCCTTGGAAGCATGCATAAATTGACTCACAACATGGACAATATATGCAATGTGTGRTCTGTAAGAGATAGAGAAGTTTATCCACAAGCTTTTGATACCTTTCTTTATCAGGATAGGCATCCTCATTTCCTTCATGAAGTCCATGGTTCAGCTCTATAGGAGTATCTAGCAGTCTACTCCCTAACTCCAATGATTCTTTTAGCAAGTCCAATGCAAACATTCTTTGACAAATGTATATCCCTTCACTAGACCTTGCCACTTCTATTCCAAGAAAACATCTCAGGGGACTCAGATCCTTGATCTCAAACTCTAAAGCCAAAGAAGTTCTCCAGCCTTTTGATTACCTCTGGATCATTTCTAGTGATTACCTATCAACATATACAACCAATGCAGTAAGTTTCTCTCCCTTCTTGTAAAACAAGGCATGACCCGCACTACTTTGAGTATATTCCAACCTTTCATTGTTTTGCACAGCCTTTCAAATCATGCCCTAGGAGACTAGGAGATTGTTTCTAACCATTCAAGGCTCTTCTCTTCAGCTTGCAAACTTTACCTTTGATGGCATATCCCAAAAGTGGATCCATAAAGGCTTTTTGCAAATCTCCATTGAGAAAAGCATTTTTCACATCAAGTTGATATAATTCCATGAGAAATTTGCAGCCAAGGATTATAGCACTCTTATAGAATTGAGTTTTACAATTGGGGCAACGGTCTCTTTATAACCTATACCCTCATTCTGTGTATACCTTTTTGCAACCAACTACAATCCCATCAGTTCTATGTTCCATAGTGTATACCCACTTACACCCTACAGTATTCTTCTCATTAGGTAAATCCACAAGCCCCCACCTCTTCGCTTTCAATAAATCCTCCATTTCCTCATCCATTACTTTCCTCCATTTAGGATCAGCCACAAGGGCCACAACCTTTGGACATCTAGGAGTAGCAACAAAAGACAAAACAAAAAAGGAGTAATAACTAACAAGTAACCAAAAATTTTATTAACATATGTGTAAGGATGTATGAAAGACCCTTTACATATTACTCAACATTGCTTTACAATACAAAACAATCTACACCCAGTGTTTTAAAAGCGCAAGGCACAAAAAAAAGCACAAGGGGAAATTTGTGCCCAAGGCGCAATGTGCAAGGCAAGGCATGCACCTTTTCGAAGCAAGACGCAAAAATACAAAAAATCAAAAAATGCAAAAAAAATTAAAATACATATATATATTAAACATAATATTAATAAAAATATAAACTTAAACTTTAAAATAAAAATTTCAAAAAAAACTATTATCTAAAATAAAAATACATAAACATAACATGTAAAGCGTATTGAAATAATTAAAAATAAAATCAAATATATAGAACATTTTCAAGGGGCTTGCCTTGAGGGGGCTTAGTCGGGGGGTCCAAGGCAAAGCCCCTAGCCTAGCCACTAGGTTCAAAAAACAACAAAGTGCAAAAAATAAAAAAATGCACACGCCTGGGCTGAAGCACAAGGCACACCAAGTGCACGCCTTTTGGAAGTGTTGTGCCTAGGGCCTAGGCGAGGCGGATACCTTAAAATGTGCCTCACCTGAGCACCTAGGCATGCCTTAGTCATCTTTTTCTATAAAAAAGGGCCATTGCCCAATGTTGGTTCCAGCTATTTAGGGTCCTGAGAGGGATGATCTGAATATGGACCTAACTTTYTATTTATTTATTTATTGCACAAAGTGATCAGAGAAACTAATTGTCCTTTTTATGAATGACAAATTATTAAATATTAGATGAAAGAAATTCACAAATACAGCAAACCAAGAAAAAAAACAGGTAGAAGACTTACAACCTAAAGTGAAAATCAACTATAAGTTATGTAATTTCCCTCCAACACTTAATCCAAACTGAATGAAAATTTTCTGATGGATAAAAATGAATCATAAGAAATTCAAAACAGGAAATTCAGAAACTAGATTCCAGATAGGAAAATTCAAAGTTCATTAATGATGGATTAAAACCTGAAGAATTTTGGTAGGGGGTTTCTTAATATTTAAAGTGAAATCTTCATTCCACGTAGGGTCTTTGGTCCTGTCAACATTGAATTGTTAATACAAAAATCAAAAGTAGAGTAGCACAAAACATAATGATTCTTCAACATAAATGCTTCTAAATTTGTTAGACATGTTTGAACCCATGAAAAATCTTTTGCAATGGCAGTGCCAACTACCAAATCAACCATGACCATAAATTATAAACAGTATGTTTCCTCATGGGAGCATCTCAAGGATATGTATCATTGCTGAGTTGTTTTCAGGATGCTACAAATAGTTAATTTAAACAGGTACTCCAGTGGTTGAGCCAATTATAATATATTCATAGATCCCACACACACACATACAACAGATGATAATGTCCACAAAAAGGAATAATGAAAAAAAAATTAAGATAAAACATCTTCAATTTAAAGGAGCATCTAAATGTAACATACTAGATGCTCTAGGTCATTTTTTATGGTTAAACTTGAGAGCAGAAAGACCAAAATGAATAATTATGCTCAGTGGTATCATGACATGAAAAAACCCGTACATTGAGTTATTTATCAGCAAACTAAAATAAAGAACAAACTATTATCAATCTTCTTTCTTTCAGGTCATACTTTCCAAACATTTTCTCCTGTATAAGTAAAGATATGCCTAATAATTCCATTCTGTTCCTTCCATTTTATATTCAATGATAACAAGATATCCTTCAGACATCAAGATTTAGTTGAACCTTGCATTTAGTTTGAAAATGTACCACGTTACAGTCATCAGGTTTATCCATTAAAACCAATACTGGAACTGTACTACTTGCTGTTGAGATTAAATAAGTTTATACTTAAATGTTACTAGGATTTTTTTTAATAAATAAAAGCTCATTAAGAATTCATTATCAAAAAAGAAGATAAAGACTGTTACAAGCATCCCAAGGGGAGGCGTGAGGTGCAACCTCACTCTTTAAAAGGAAAAAAAACAGCACAAAGATTACAATTGGCCCAATACAACCGATCCCTAATTACTCCTTGCTTGGCTAGAAAGTCAGCAAACGAATTAGCCTCCCCTCCCACCCATTGTATAGTCAAATTCATACATTGTGCTGCCCATTTGAATTTCTTCATTTCATTTCTATAGCATCATATCATTGAATCTAGATTTCTAAGGCCTAAGCCAACCCACCACCACCTTGGAGTCCCCTTCTATCACCAAACACTCCAAACCTATCTCTCTTGCAATCTGTACACCTTGTAGAACTGCATACAGTTCAGCCCTTAAAGAGTCTCCATTCCCCACCAGTCCTGAGTAGAGTGCTCTCAGATTCCCATCCTTGTCTCTTATTATTATTATTATTTTTTTATAGGAAACGGTAACTTTCATTAAAGAATTAAAAAGATTACAGAATTACCACCCACAAAATCGATGGAATTTCAAAACAAAAACTTACAAACAAGCCCAAAACAAAGCCTCCCTAGTAGATCCTTGCTTAGCTAAAGTGTCAGCCATTCCATTTGCTGACCTTCTTACCCATTCAAAATGCACCCCAATCTCCCTTGCTAAGCTAATAATCTCTCTTAGAGGCTGTCTAAGAGACCAAACTCCCAAGTTTCCAGATTGCATCCACCCTATTATCAGTTTGGAGTCTCCTTCCACTTCTAATTGTTGCATTCCCCAGTGTTTCGCCAGTCTCAAACCTTGAAGTAAGGCCATTACTTCTGGCCTTAATGAATCTCCCACCCCAATTGGGCCCGAGTAAAGGGCCAAGACTTTTCCTTCCTCATTTTTGAACACACCCCTGACTCCCGACTGACCTGGATTACCCAAGGAGCTTCCATCAAAGTTTAGCTTCACCCTAAACTGAGGCGGTGGTACCCAACTTTCTTGTACCACAAGGGAGGAAGGAGAGGATACAGCTATAGAACTCCAATTTCTAATTAAGTCAGCTGAGGAGAAGTCCTTGAAGAGATGATGTACTTTCAGCCAGTGCATAACCTTGATGGTGACAACCTCAACAAGTGCTTCCTTGGGTTTTTCTTGCCCTAGTAAGATCCTATTGTTTCTATCTTCCCAAATTGATCATAAGATGGCTGCTCTTGTTTTTATCCACATTACCCTACCCATTTTCCTTGGTTGTCAGAAGAAGCTAGAGTCAAAAAGGTTCAGCACACCCGAGGGGGGATTCCATCTACAACCAAACAAAGAAGAGAACAAATCGCACAAATAAGAAGCAAAAGGACAAGAAATCAAAAGATGAGTCACCATSTCACCATTTCTTAAGCAAAGGTAACAGATATATGGGGAAAGGCACCAATCAGGCCTTTTTCTTTGAAGTATATCCATAGTATTTATCTTTTGAAGAGCCACTTCCCAGCAAAAAGCCCTAACCTTTGGTAGCATAGGAGAATGCCAAACTTCTTTATCAGGAAAAGAGAAACACAATAGAAAGTCCTTGAAGAAGACTCTTTTCAAATTCTACTATCTGGGCATGAAAGATCCAGGAAAATTGAACTCAACACAATGAACAACTCGTCTGCAAAAGCCAATTCGGAATCCCTCAACCCTCTTCTCAAACCCAAATCCCAAGTCCCCTCAAACACACGAAGTGAGGAGATGGTTTTGAATTTATTTAGGGAAAGAGAATACATTACCGGGAATCTATCCTTAAGGGGGGTGTTCAAAAGCCAAAGGTCCTCCCAAAACAGAATTTTATTACCTGAACACACATCAAATCTGATGAAAGGCTAAAAGAAAGGCAAGATTCCAGCAATTGCTTTCCAATGGGAGAAATGAGAAGCCCTAAGGTCAACGCCAGCATCCCATCCATTAGCTGCCATCCTGTGAATACTTTCCACCACCAAGTGCCACAAATTGTCCTGATCCAAAGGAAATCTCCACAACCACTTTCCTAACAAAGCTACATTTCTTAATCTGATATTTGCCAATGCCTAGATCCCCCACCCCAACTTCCTTTTTCCTAGAAACTACTTCCGACTTCACTAAATGGTCCTTTTTCGAGTCACCCGGTTCCCATAGAATGTCTCTCATGAGCTTTTCTAACTTATTGGCAACCTTGGCAGGAAGCTTAAAGGTAGACAAAAAATACACCAGAAGGTTGGCCAAAGTGGACTTGATTAAAGTGATTCTACCCCCTAGTGAGATATAATTTCTCTTCCACCCTGCTAGCTTCTTAGTGACTTAGTGAATCTTTCCAAAATTGGGTACCAAAAGCTTTTTGTTCTAGGATTTCCCCCTAGGGGCAAACCTAAATATACCAGAGGCCAACCACTTATCTCGCAACCTAAAGCCCTAGCCACCAAATGCACTTCATCTTCCCGTAAATTCACCCCCGCTACATAACTCTCGTTCCAATTGACTTTCAGATTGGAGACTCTCTCAAAATGCATCTCCACCAATCTCAAATTATCCATCTCCTCAGTTTCCCCTTCACAAAAGAGAATGATATCATCTGCAAATTGTAGGTGAGTGACAATCACTTTTTGCCTCCCAACTCTCCAACCTTTTAGTAAATTTCTTGAATCAGCCCTAGAAATCAAGACACTTAGGACATCCACTACTAAGGTGAAGATGAAAGGTGACAAAGGGTCTGCTTGTCTAAGGCCCCTCTTTGCAGGAAAGAAGTCCCTTGCTACTCCATTCACTAACACTGAGAAGTGACAAGAGGTAATACAACCCTTCATCCAATTACACCATATCTCCCCAAAGCCTCTATTCCTCAACACTTCTAGCAAGAAATCCCAATCCACCAAATCATAAGCCTTTTCTAGGTCAAGTTTATAAATCAGACCATTTTCTCCTTTTTTTTTTGTAATCCACACATTCATTAGTTATTAAAATCTTATCGATAATTTGTCTCCCTCTCACAAAGGCCCCTTGGTTCGGTGAGATTAAGGAAGGGAGGACTTTCCTCAGTCTTAGTGCAAGAACTTTAGAAGTGATCTTATAGAGATAGGTCTAAAGTCCTTGGGCTAAACTGCAGGCACCTTCTTAGGGATCAAAACTATGAAAGTAGCATTTGCACCCGTGTTTATTTTTCCTCTTTCAAAGAACTCCAAGAAAACCTCCATAGAGAAAACTGCCTCTTTTATTTCTTGAACCTCAAACGGTCGTCTAGGGGTTCCAACAATTCCCTTTCTCCAACATGCCATTCAAAGTCGATTAGCGTCTCTCTTACTCTACTGGGGCTGTCATAAATGGAATTAAAATGCTCCACAAAAGCTTTTGCAATCTCTTCCTCTCTTGTCAGCACTGCCCCATTCCATTCCAAACTTTCAACAATGTTCTTCCACTTGCCAAACTATGGAAAAATCTTGTATTACCATCTCCTTCCTTCAACCACTTGCATCTTGATTTTTCTCTCCAGCTTATCTCTTCTTTTTTGAGAAATTCCTCCAAATCCTGTTTCAACTTCCATCTCTCTTCCCTTTCTTCAAGCCTCAATCCTCACTTTGCCTCAGCAGCATCAAGTTCTTGAATCCTTTAATAATAGCATCCTTTCTGCCTTCAATTCTACCAAACTCTCCTTTTAGATGTCCCTCCTTCAAGCTTTTTCTTAGATTTATCTTGTTCTTCCACTCTTTTCTTTTTTTGACTCTTCTTCCTATTTCTCCTCTTTGTTGTTTTTTCGCCTATCTTTACCCTTTCTCCCTCCCTTCCCCTACCTGGGAACTAGGAACTGGAGTGTCACCCTCCTGTTCAAAATTCTCCCCTAATTCGTCCTCTACCAAGAGTCTAAAGATCTGCAAGATTAATCCCCAAATCCTTTCCCCTTCATCCACAGTCTCTTATATGTTACTGGGGTTTTTTTCTTGTATTGAGTTGTTTATTTGTTGATGATTGATTGGTAACACATAGAGAATTTATTAGTTGTGACAAAGAATGATTTAACTTTGTGCCTGTTGGGATTTTATATCTTTTATAATAGTATATGCCACAGGCTTCTTGTAATTTCTTATTTTTATGTGGACTGATACAGCAAATCAGATATGGGAACAGACTAAATCAACCTATTCTGAACAGAGACATAATGCAAAAATG